CTTTCATTTTAGAAAAACAAAGAAAAATAGTACGCACCAAACGCACTTGTGATATATATATATATATATATTTTTAAAGAATCTCGTTTAGCGCAGTTTTTAGGAATTTTATTTCTTGAAATCTTTGTCTTCATATTTGCTTCCTCTTCCCCTTAAAAACAGGAAAAACTGATTGTTGGGGGGTGGTATTGGGAAAAGGCGGTGAAACTTTTAAAGTGCGCGTGGGCATCAAATAGCTATGAATAATATACGGATGCAGGGGCAAACAACCATTAATTTTCATTGAAACTGACAGTTCACATTGCCCGTAATGTAATGGAAACAGTCCTTCGGGAGCTAAACCATTTTGTTTATGTTTCGAAATTGTCAAAAAAGTTAGACCAACCTGATCTGTGTTATTTAATTAGCACGACCAACCTGATCCATAGTGTGTGACACTAGTGACCTATGATGCTCGGTCGGTGTGGCCGCGCTGTCATATGTTGCTTTGTAAGACTTATCACGCCAAGTATTGTTGTATACCTAGTACGGCCAATGTGACATATTTGGTTTTGTGGGTCTTACCGTCCAGACAAAATGTAGTTTATTAGATCTGACCAACGTGACCTATGCTTTTTCGTGAGGTAGAACCATCATGACCAATGTTGATCTGACCAACGTGACCTTTGTTTATTTATTAAATTTGATCACGATGAAGGCCAAATATCGTTAATTGATATTTATATATGCACGCATTCTCCGGTAGAATTTCTGATTATTGACTGGAATCATATTCTAGGTTTAAACTACAAATAAAACACGGTCCAATGAAGCGGAACAAGTGCACTAGTTTTTATCGAACAGCTCCCTCGGCTGTACATGTTGTCAGACTCGGTTACATAAAGAACTAATGGAATTTTGAAGTACTACTTGACTTACGCTACGCGATACAAGTAAAAATGTGTTAGAGCCGAGAGGTTTGAGTTTCAGGGCGATATCGATCGGGTGTTTAGTTTAATGAGATGAAACATGATCAAACTGAATAAAATACGAGACAACAACAAGGCGTGGGTGCTACTCATCAACCCGTTACCCCATGTGAGATGTACTTTTAACTCTTGCGTAGAGAATGTGCCTGAGAAGCGATGGCGCAACTGGCGCGTGTGCTCCAGGCGCACCATAAAAATATTCTATTCTAACGAGCTATAACTTATTACATTATGAACTATTCATTATGCATGAACTTTGGTTTAAGTATACTCATATTGGCTTAATCACGTAAGGAGACATTTAGTTGGTGTCTTATTGAGTTAACCAGTACTTCTATGGTACAGCTTTGGATATAATACAGAAATACATAGCCTAACGGTGTATATAAGAAATATTCCGATATACGTGGAGGAATTATCAAATGAAAAAAAGACATTTAAGGAGGCTTGCAAGCAGCAAGGAGTGAAAGTATTTTGCTAAGACAGAAGGGGTTATAGGTTTGGAGTAGATTTTCAGTGGGGTAGCATCCTAAATATCTATTCAAAAAACCCATAAAACATCTTAAGATAACGTTTAGGTTTGTGGCATAACTTCATAGTTTATATCCTGGGCTGAAACACCTAATAGCTATCAATTCAGTGCATAGCTTATATCATTGACTGAAACACCTAATAGCTATCAATTCAGTGCATAGCTTATATCATTGACTGAAACACCTAAAAGCTATCAATTCAGTGCATAGCTTATATCATTGACTGAAACACCTAATAGCTATCAATTCAGTGCACAGCTTATATCATTGACTGAAACACCTAATAGCTATCAATTCAGTGCACAGCTTATATCATTGACTGAAACACCTAATAGCTATCAATTCAGTGCATAGCTTATATCATTGACTGAAACCACCTAATAGCTATCAATTCAGTGTATAGCTTATATCATTGACTGAAACACATAATAGCTATCAATTCAGTGCACAGCTTACATCATGGCAGGGATCCAAACACACTATTTATGCAATCCATCATGGGCAACTCTAATCATTTTCCATATCTTGGAGTGTCGGAGACTGAGGTGGCTCTACTATTCGCTGAGCCAATTATCAGGGGACAGACATTTTTGTTTGCTCCAACTAGGAGCCAGAAAAGTTTTACTACCACAGTGGAATCTGATTTTTCAATTTACAAGATTAAAAACTTTTTTTTATTTTATTAAATTTAATATTTTAAAAAAAGAGAAGTTAAGTATCTACTGTCTTTCTAAGATACCCTAAAGTGATTTGTTAATGCAATTATCAACGTACTCATAGGATTTTTTCCTAAAAATGCTTCTTTTGATTTTTTTTAAAGACATTAGGAACGACAAATTTTCTGAAGACGTTCTTAAATTCCATGATGAGACCAGGTTGGGACATGGAAAAAAAATGTAAACAACATGCACTGATGATTTACCAAAGATTGTGCGTTTGATGTGTAAGACGAGAACGGCAAGTTATAGAGCGATAAATGGTATTTGTTGTGTCAGAAAAGGGTCATCCTAGACATGTTTTGCAAATCGTATTTTCAAAGTCTTTCATAATTTGATATACGGCGCTTCTTATTGGCAGTTTGAAATCATACAAATATAGCCTCAAACACAATAGATGTAAGATAAACATAAACAAATCAGCTTAGTGTATAACAAAATGGAGCACTGCGTTCAAGTTGTGGGAAAGTAACCAGTAGAACGTTCTTATTGTATTTTCCTGTCTTTCTATTTCAAGCTTCCGCAACCTTGTTCTCCTATTAGCTTAATGAAAAACTACTATCATTTTCTTAAAGATATTCCCGTAGATCGTGAGGTGTGTAATTTTTTTGTGAGTTACGTTTTGTCCGCGAAACCTGGATGTGACAGAAATAAATATGTTAGTAAAGATAAACGGAAAGAACCGATAAAATCAAATGAACTCAAAGTACACCGGTTGAATAAAATATAATAGGTTAAGGTAATTTTTTTTTATTAGAAAGGAATGCATGCGATATTATAAAATGAAAATGGAGGATGAGAATAATTGTTACTTATAAATTTAAAATCTCTCAATGGACGCAGACGTAAAAAAGAAAAACCATTCATGGAAGAAATTAATTGATTATATTTACACGTTAGGAATTGAAAGTAAAAATCCTGCAATCATTTTGATCTTTTGGGCGAGAAAATTAGGCAAACTATTTTTTTTTCCTTATACCTTGTATTGCGTCTATTACATGTTGCTATGCCAGTTGTCGCCTATTTCCTGTCTCATACCTGAAAACCGGAAATGATGTACATTCTTCTTGACGAGCACAGTGTTTCGATCAAGTAAAATGGTGGAGAGATTTCAACAACTATTGCGTCTTATGTCGTCTTATTTCATAACAAAAAAAAAAACTTTAAGTTTTTTTAATGTATACAATTCTACGCAAACTTTTAAATCTTTAAAAAAAAAAAAAATTTCTTTGTGCAATGAATTTAAAGAAATTATTTTCTACTTTGTAGTGCGTTTAAATTCGTCTTCAAAAGGAAGTATAGGGACTGCTCATTCCTACCAAAGACAATCAGTTACTGGAACAAGCTTTCAAAAAGAACAGTTGAGGCGACAACACTTGACACGTTTGCGTCTCTTGCCTCGGGCCTTCCAACCCGCAGTGCATGATTCCCTCACAAAGTGGCCCTTGCAACCAGTGAAACATTCTCATCGACACCAGGCACAGAAGCCATGCAAATCCCCTCTTCATGCATACGAGCCAGAATGATCAATAAATCGATCGTAGGTTCTTAATATATATAGAAGAAGAAGAAAGCCTTTTTTACAAAAAAGATCTTTTAGAACTTTAAGTATTAACATTTTAAAATGTAAATTATCCATAAAATATAATTTTTTATTGTATTTTTTTTAACTACGAATGCTTACAAAATCCCCTGACTTAGATATTTGCCTAGACATGAAATTAAAAATTAGAATTTAACGACTGCTTGCCGTCCGTTGATCGGAGTCTCATTGCCTAAATGACTTGCTTCAACACCTTCCCTCTATCCCATCCCAAAATTCTCGTTAGGATCAACGGTTATTGTAATCGAAGGGGTGGGTTGTTGTTTTCTAATCAGCTTTTCGTATTTCCCAATTACTCACCACCCCAAACCCGCCCCTAGCCTCCGCCCTCGACCCAGTTTAGTGGAACTTTAACTCGGTGACATCAACTCAGATGCGACTTTACAGGTCAGCAAGAGGAAGACCGTATTGACTGAACGATTAGGTCACTTGTGACAACAACAAAATTACACTACTAGCTGACACACTTAATAGATTTGCGAGTAGAAATAAAATATTTCAAACATGACGTTGGCGATACCCAATACTACCTGCCATGAAATGCTACAGAACTAAATCAAAACCTCAAGTTTAAAATTTGCTAATAGTTATTTCCCCATTTAACGAGACATTGTTCATTGCTGTGACACCAAGTGTTGATACATCAGTTGGTGGTAATTTGATCAGCTCTGAGATCACTCTAACTTTGACGTCACAGCCACTTTGACTTCAATAAAAGAGACCTGAAATGAATTAATTACAATTTGGATTTTTTTTTTTAAATGTTGATTTCTCCCGTTGAATTTTAAAGTCGGGATTATAGCAGCCCAGCACCGAACTCAAGCCTTCTAAAAAAAATTTTTAGAACTAAACCTCACTAAGAAATGTGTAGATTTAATGATATAAAATAGCAAAATAAAATCAATATTTTCTGATATAGAGTGATTAAATAACTTTATTTATTTTAATCGTCATTTTATTATTATTATTTTACATTAAATAACAATTATTTGCAAAATGTTAACTCGTTAAGTTTCGTTCCTTTCTTGTTTCTTGTTAAATCTTCTGCCATGCCGTTGAAAGTCTTTTGATTTTCATCACACATTTCAAAATATTAATAATGTATCAATTGGTTGTCTGAGATTGTTTTGAGTCAACCTTGTTACGATCCACAACCCTGCAGCAGCAATGCACTTCCGTTATACTTACTAGCAAAGCATCCCGTCATGCAGTTGGCAATATTTCCCGCTATCAGCAGCGGTATCGCCATTTTAGCCAACCAGGCTCTCCTCTTCGGGATAAGTCCCCCAAGGATCGCCATCCCCTGGACGATGGACAAGCAGCTTGAGAAGCCGCACAGACAGTAAGTTATGATGGCCTCTGACCTATCCTGCAGTTGTGGAATGAATTTAAAGTAATAATGTAATTTGCAAATTTTTTATTTTTTTTGTTGTAATTATTATTTTTGTTGGTTGCATATATGAGAGGACATGAACCTGAAATGAACAAACCCATTGACCCCTAATGAACATAAGGTAGAGCGTAGATTTTCTGAACTATTTGGAACCGCGGGTGTTTTGAATTAGTGCAGAGAAAAACCAAATATTCTTGCCTTATAAATTAGATAACCGAATATGACGCTCTATTGAAAAGTGCACTAACCCTACCACATTATGCAGAAGAGTCGGCTGTAAGAAACAGGTGAGAACTGGAACTTTTTTTTTTCTGGGAAAAGAGGTCGTTACCAAAATTAGATGACCGGGTGCTCAGAATAAAATTTGAGGTCACTCCGTCTTCGTAGGCGTGTATTCTGAGACTTGGATCACAAAACATGTTTTCAGATCGCATTATACCAGCCAGTTCACTGAATATACTATACGTATCTTTTAACTGGATTATGCAACATGGGTCGGAGTTTTTTTTCTCCCGATGTTTGTTATACGCTAATGTTGCTCGCCATGCGCATTGCTTACGATAATAATAATAAAAGTTCGGGGCTGTTCGTATAATCAATTTTTCAAATAATAGGCTTTCGGAAAATCGACGCTCTACTCTCTTTCATTTGAACTTTAATATACATTTTTTCTTTTTAAAACTCAATGTTGTATTAATAAATATTACAATTATATTTTATATCTTAGTTATAATAGGAGGTCAGAATGTCCATTGGTGGCCCATTTTATGCCATTGGTCCACGTCTCAGTTCACCTGAAGGACACACGATAACGTGAACTGTCTACTTGTTGGTGTAATAAATTTGGCTTTAAGAGCTGGACTCTGCACATCTAACTGTCAGTCAATCATTAAAGATGTGTGTTTCCTCCATAAAGTACTGACATTGATAAATCCCAGTTTGAGGGTCTTGTTCCACGCCCCGAGAATGATGTCGTCGTTATCGTGGAGTACAGGACCCGTGCCATTGGTAGCCACCATGTATTGAAGGTAGGTAAACCTGTTGAGCTTCATCTCGGCCAGCTGTCAGTTTTAAAAGATAAATGGACGGTACATTGGGCTATACATCTTGATATATAGGATAAGATAAGTTAAGATAATTTTAGATAGATAAGATAAGGTAAGATTCTTTATTGATCCAAATAAATAGAATTTTTTTTATTGCATCGTATTTATTCATTTTTGGCACATAAATAAATACATTTTTTAGCAAAGACATGACTATACAATTATAACAATGTAAACACAAGACATCTAAAGTAGTTCTCTAGCGTAGACATCAGCCATCAATGAACTCCTTTAGTGACAAAATGACTAAATTATTGATCGTTTAGATTTGGAAACCACTTGGGGGGGGGGGAGTGGAAGAGCAGGCTGGTATATATTTTATACAGACTGATATGAAGATAACAATCTTAAGTAGTTCTCTAGCGTAGACATCAGCCATCAATGAACTCCTTTAGTGACAAAATGACTAAATTATTGATCGTTTAGATTTGGAAACCACTTGCGGGGGGGGGGAGTGGAAGAGCAGGCTGGTATATATTTTATACAGACTGATATGAAGATAACATTCATGACAGTGTGCCGCCTAACACCCCAGAATAAATATAATTTGGGACGTACAGGCTCCCACATTGCTCACTGTCAGATTATTTATCAATTTTGAAAGTGAAATCAATCTAAAGACAATTGATAATAAAAACATTTTTAAAAACTTCCCGAATCAAAATGAATTACTCTATTCGTCTTTATTCACATCTTTTTCAGATAAATTGTATTTGAGACAAAAAGCATAATAGTTATGGAAGGGTTTTTAAACCCCAACAATCGCTAGACGTGGAATGGAGAATTTCAACTAAATTGTTACAAGAATTCCATAAGTCCATCATATAGAAGAATGGATATACCTCTATAAAAATATTATTTATTACATTTAGTAATCTATGACAATATCATAAGTTACGCTTAAAATTCCGTAAAGGAATGCTAACACAATAATAAATACAATGGCTACATTCAAGTACTACTAAGATCAAATTTTGAAATGACTTGGGACATTGCTCAGCTCACACGATCAAATTGTCTTCAAATTTCTTTTTGAACGAACTATTTAGTAAGACAAAATAGTGCTTACAAACAGAAATGTGTCGAAAATTTGAAGCAAATTTGACGAAGACTCGATCGTTTGAACTGAGCATCAGTCCCATTTCCTTTTGTGTTGGATGTTGACTAATAAAGTTTAATTTTTAAGGACCGATCTCAAATTCAATGCTGCTTTTTACCTACCTTTAAGAATGCGAATATATTGTAGATGCCGATTCGATATCCGAGCAGCATGGCCACCCTCCTACAATCCTCTTCTTCTACGCCCATGGCAAGGGCCAGTGGATAAAGCACGTAGGATCCTATGTACTGTAAGAAATTTAAGGAATGGGAAATCGGTTTTGCGCAACCGTAAAAGGTGAAGCAATAAAAATTAAATAGTTCACACTTATTTATGCTTTCACCTTAATTAACCCTCTCACTTCTTAAGTTAACCTAATTTGAGGGCCTATTACATTAACCCTTTCACGCTCTAAGAGTACGTTATTAACCCTTGCATTCTCTAAGGGTACGTCATTAGAGCTTTAAAAACTCTATCTGCAAAAATTTACCTCATTTGATACCTTATCCATTTAACCCTTTAGGTGCCTGAGTTTACCTCAATGGAGATCCTATCACTTTAACCATTTAGGTGTCTGAGTTTACCTCAATGGAGATCCTATCACTTTAACCCTTTAGGTGTCTGAGGTTACCTCAATGGAGATCCTACTACTTTAACCCTTTAGGTGTCTGAGGTTACCTCAATGGAGATCCTATCACTTTAACCCTTTAGGTGCCTGAGTTTACCTCAATGGAGATCCTATCACTTTAACCCTTTAGGTGTCTGAGGTTACCTCAATGGAGATCCTACTACTTTAACCCTTTAGGTGTCTGAGGTTACCTCAATGGAGATCCTATCACTTTAACCCTTTAGGTGTCTGAGTTTACCTCAATGGAGATCCTATCACTTTAACCCTTTAGGTGTCTGAGTTTACCTCAATGGAGATCCTATCACTTTAACCCTTTAGGTGTCTGAGTTTACCTCAATGGAGATCCTATCACTTTAACCCTTTAGGTGTCTGAGTTTACCTCAATGGAGATCCTATCACTTTAACCCTTTAGGTGTCTGAGTTTACCTCAATGGAGATCCTATCATTCCCAACTCTCTCACCAAACCACCTGAGGGTGTTGTTGATCCACGAGACGGCCGAGAAGAAGATGTATGAGACGATGACCAAGTTACTGAAGACACCGAACATCACCATTGCCCCTGCCTGGGCGGCCTCCATGATGCTAGAGTAACGTCTGGCGAGGACATGCAGTGGTTACTGACAGGTGGTGTTAAAAGACAGATAGTGTCTTCTGACTTGGAGTGATTATTGACAGGTAGTGTCTTTTGACTTGGAGTGATTATTGGCAGGTAGTGTCTTTTGACTTGGAGTCATTATTGATAGATAGTGTCTTTTGACGTGGAGTGATTATTGACAGGTAGTGTCTTTTGACTTGGAGTGATTATTGACAGGTAGTACTTACTGATAGGTAGTGGTTATCGGGAAGGGTGTGTGTAGTTTATGTATCTCATTTTTAATAATTGGGTTCTAGGAATGACGTTTTTGTACTGAATAATTGTTTCGGATATTCCGTTTAATTAGCTGTTTTCTCCTTAAACTCTCACGTATAAATCTCACAAATGTTTACCTACATTCCAGGTTTAAAAGTTTACTACCAGTGGCTGAAAAGCCCTAACATTATTTTAAAATATTATTTTTGAAACCTAACAGTTAAACAAACAAGAATATATATATATAAGTTTTTCTTTCTTTTTACAATTTCTCTTCTGCCACCACGTCTGCCTCCAGCTCGTCTGACTTGAGTATCTTCTTGGTCTCGGGGTACATGAGCTTGCAGACGGCGAACGTCGCCGGGGCGGACACCAGCATGGCCGGGATGACGAACTCAAGGGAAATCTAAACACAAGAATAGCCATTCATTGCCTTGCACATGGTTATTTGAGACTTAATAAATCTTGAATATGTCAACATAAAGTGTGCGTTACCGGACTAATTGATTGATTGATTGATTGGATATTTATATAGCGCTAGTATCACTGCTACTTTAGCATGCTCACTGCGCTCTGGTGCTCTTAAATCTATTTTTAAAATAGTGTCTTTAACTGTTTCTTAAATGATTTTTTTTTTCATTTTCTAACCGCCTTAAAGATTGAGGAAAACTGTTCCAGATTTTAGGCGCAATCGCTTTAACAGAGCGCACTCTGTAAGACTTTTTTTTCTGTGTTCATCCACACTAGGAATTTTCAATAAAGACCGTGTTGAAAACCGCAGGTTCTGGATACATGTTTATAAATCAGTTCTTTAAGAAATCCCGGTGCAGAGCCTTCTATGCAGCTGATGGTGATCTGGTAGAACTGGGTGATGTGGTCATGTTTCTTTTATCCGCGATACGCTGGTTGATTGGTATGAGTGAAAAGTTGAGCTGCTAAACAATAGCCAACTATCCAGGAATAAAAATATTTGAGAGAAACATTCCAAAAATGAGAAAATGTGGACAGATTTCACGGCTTCTTCTCAATACTGCATATGGGTAATTTTTTTTTTCTTAAGTGGAATTCTTAATTTTAAAATTAGAAATGGTACAGGAAGTATATTCAGTATTTTTAAAACTTTTTTTTCCCAAATTATTTTTACCTATAAGGTAAATCTATATGTTACAGTTTTCTATATACACACAAATACTTCTTTTGTTGTTGATAACATTGCCCCATGCTGTAGTAATTGAACTTTAAAATCGTTCAGTTGTCCTTAAAAGAATGAGTTACCTTTTTAAAACATATGTTAAATATTCTTCAAGCACATACTTAGCATGGAACGTTTTCAGCGACAGGTCTGTCTACATACCATCGTATTACATAATATAATGAAAATGTGGTTTCTGGTTTCATCAAATGATTTATCAGTAGCATCGTGTTTTATTTGTTATAATGTCATCAACAACAACCATATTATTGTAGCTGACAGAGCTATTACCCCGAATGAGTACAGCACAGCCATGTAGGCCCCACCAAGGGAGGAGAAGCATGACGTCAAGACGGCGAATAGCTGAGATCTGGTCAGGGAGTACAGGAACGGCCTTATCATCAAGAGTGTCACCCCCTAGGTAACAAAGACAACAACAACGGTAACCAGGGTAACGAGGGTGAGTGTCGCATAGAAGAAATTGGATGAGACAAAAATACGTCACTTTGTAACCAAAAAATAAAAATGATTGGAGTACATAATTAATATTATTAAATATTGTATTTATTTAAATTGAACCCCCCCCCAAAAAAAAAAAAAAAAATTCTGTTTCATCTGTGGTCAGTTTTATAATGAATAAAACATGTATATGTCTTAAATGGGCTGGGCTGAAATGTTTAACTTAAAAAAATACGTAAATTTTTAAACAAAAAATAAAAATTATTTGAGTACATAATTAATATTATTAAATATTTTATTTATTTAAATTGAACCCCCCCCCCAAAAAAAAAAAAAAAATTCTGTTTCATCTGTGGTCAGTTTTATAATGAATAAAACATGTATATGTCTTAAATGGGCTGGGCTGAAATGTTTAACTTAAATCCTGTCCATCATTTTTTAAAAATTGTGTTGCTGATTCTTTGTAAAGGAAACTCAAAACAAAAATATTCAAATCACGTGATGGGTTTTACGCCACTAGAAAATCGATCTATTTTTTTAATAATAATTTTTGTTTATAAATTTATAGGTATATAAAACCGATTGTAGGACAACATCACATCAGTGTACATGAGATGCACTGACCCTGTCCATGAGACTGTAGGTCAACATCAAAGCTGCTTATCTGTGATTTGCTGATCATGTCAATGAAACTGATGGTAGGCCTACATCAAAGCTTTGTATATGAGATGTACTGGCCCCTTCCCTACAATGACTGTACATCAAAGATTGTACATCAAAGATTGTACATCAAAGATTGTACATCAAAGATTGTACATCAAAGATTGTACATCAAAGATGTGTACCGACCATGCCCATGCCCATGAAACTGTAAAGATGCTGTGTACGCGAGATGCTCTCACCCCTTCCATGAAGATCCCAGCGGCCACGGACGTGCACTCTATACGGGACGTGTTGAGTGAGAACTTCAAGACGTTCCCAAGGACGTTGATGATGAACTGCATGGCTCCAAGGTAATACAGGACAGTGATGGTGGCGCTAGCGTAGAACATCAATGGGATGGCCTGTAAGATGTCATGTGTGAGCTTATGTAATGCTTATATGTTAGGGATGGTCATGTCATGTCTATGTGTAAGGTGTTTTTATGTAGTGCATATTTTTCAGATGTGTTCATGCAATGCCTATGTGTTAGGTGTGTTAGGTGTGTTCGTGTAATGCCTATGTCAGGTGTGTTTATGTAAAGCTTAAATGTCCTGGATTTCCAAGCAATGGTTGTATTTAAGAGGTGTTTCTTTCAAGAAATGGCTATATACCTAGATAAAGTGTGCAACATTAAATGTTTGAAATGGAGTCTGATCTTAGGATGTAACAACAGTGTTGATTGCAAAAGAAATATTTTTTGTTTACAAAAGAAATGTGTACGTTAAATTTGATCATTTTCTATAGATAATAATCCTGACAAACCACCAAGACATACAATGAAATGAACAAAATCATCAGATATACTTTTTTTTACAATACATCAGTCTCTATAAATTAAATGTACCCCATCTTCACATACATCTGTTAATACAAACAGCGCACAAACAGATATGTTTGAGCACAGCTACTGAATTCACAATAAGTATGTGGAGAACGTTGGATCTTGCTGGGTTGCGACAAAAAGATGTCAATTATTTCAACTTGACTTTAGTGACTTAAGGACAGAATTACCCCGGAAATAAGGTAATGGTCTACTGGCTACTTCTAAGGTGAGTGCTTTTTCTTATTTTTACTTTTATACCGTTTTTTTTCTGTTGTTTTGTTGGCTGACGAAGGCTTTTTGCCGACACATTCGTTGTTTTCCTCCGTTCCTTTTTTTCACATTTAACCCTACTCTGTTTTACTCATTTTATGTTGAGTTAAGGATAGAAGTACCCCGAATATAAGGTAGGGGTCTACTGACTTAAGGACAGAAGTACCCCGAATATAAGGTAGGGGTCTACTGACTTAAGGACAGAAGTACCCCGAATATAAGGTAGGGGTCTACTGACTTAAGGACAGAAGTACCCCGAATATAAGGTAGGGGTCTACTGACTTAAGGACAGAAGTACCCCGAATATAAGGTAGGGGTCTACTGACTTAAGGACAGAAGTACCCCGAATATAAGGTAGGGGTCTACTGACTTAAGGACAGAAGTACCCCGAATATAAGGTAGGGGTCTACTGACTTAAGGACAGAAGTACCCCGAATATAAGGTAGGGGTCTACTGACTTAAGGACAGAAGTACCCCGAATATAAGGTAGGGGTCTACTGACTTAAGGACAGAAGTACGCCGAATATAAGGTAGGGGTCTAATGACTTAAGGACAGAAGTACCCCGAATATAAGGTAGGGGTCTACTGACTTAAGGACAGAAGTACCCCGAACATAATGTAGTGGTCACGCCATGACTCGCCAAACAACAGGCTCGACCCGGCATGGGTGTTGGCGAAGTACTCGTTGAACCGGTCTTGTATCCAGAGGATGATCTCCCTGCCGTACTTCCACTTGATGGCAAAAAGCGCACACAGGAACTGCAGCCCGTTGCTCCAGAAGATGGTGTGCCACTGGATCTGAGGAGGGCAACAATTGACGCCATTATAAGTTAAGACACAGCTGTGCTTTTGGGTTTAAAATTTCCGTTTCATTTGAGCAGTGGCTTGCTCCAACCAGAAGTTGGTCAATCAGTGCTGACGTTCTCAGAAATATTTTTTTAGTCTACATAACAATAATTAAGAACAAATGTGATGCCTCAAAAATTTTAAACGTTTTTTTCATTGGCAATGCTGATTCATTTTTTTGGGGTCAACTTTTAAATTACTTTTGGAATTATATTTTGTAAGTTATGATATTCAAAAGGTGCTGCAGTAACTACTAGGTAAAGACGTTTGATTAGAATCAAATGATGTCCCATACGCAGTAGGACAGTTTTGATCAATCAAATATTCAATTATTAGA